GAAACAGCCCAAAACATGCGCGCGAACTACACAGGAAACGACTTTTACCCTGCATATCATGCCGGGCGAAAATCGTTTACGTGCATTCTGAAATTGGCATGAGAAGACACACAGGGCTTGCACTGTAAGTATCCCGGAGAGCTCTTTACAATAGACCTTATGCATAATTGACTACGCGCGCGGTGAATTGTGGTCTTAGTAATCACGCGTGTGTAAACATTACAATATGGCCACTACGGAAAGTGAGTGTGCTGCTGTTGATCGTTGTCTTTTAGAAAATGAAAATGCAAAGGGAAAAGCTATTTAGCCCCTGAGGTTGTTAGTGAACGACTCTATAGCATTGCCAGTGACATTTTTTCATTGGGAAGAATGCTTAAGGCGATATCGTCTTTGTTGGGTTTTTATGAGAGGGTCCGAGAATTGGTTAAAATGTCAACCAGAGATAAGCCGTCAGAGAGACCTAGCCTTTATGTTTTCTCTCGTAAGATTGCTGATGTTAAATTTTAGGTGTAGTATTTTCCAAGTCAGCAGACCTAATATCAGATAGAATCGCATCATTGCATAAAATCTCGCCTTCTGATTGGTTAACGAAGCAAGGTGTTTAGCGGGGCTAAGTGATGTTGTTTCGCATCCACGTATACATAAAAACTATAAGTAATGCTGTTTTCTTTTTATCTTGTTTTTATTCAAATATGTGATTCAAGGAAAATCCATTACTTGGCTCGTGAATTCCGCGTTAAATTGCACTTAAAAACCGATATCGCACTCATCGCTTCGCGTATCGCTTTTCGCGTGCAATTAAATGCGGAATTCCCTCGTCAAGTAATGAATCTTCCTACAATAGTTCATTCAAAGTTTAGTTACTTCAATTTCAGCGATTTTAAAATGAAGAAAAACTTCTTCCCCATAATTCTGCCACAACAAATAGTTTATGACCCAGCTTACTCGGTGAATAAGAACCTATTGACGACAGGATAATTGTAAATCATTTTTTATCAGTTTATTACCCTTAACGTGTGAACTAAATCCGATTTTGAGAGGACAAAACGGCTTTCTAATGACTGCTGGAAGGGAATTGGGTGTAATTCCGTGGCACATTCAGTTTCTTGGCGATCGCTGCCAAAAAGCTGTAATGTCGTCTCAAAATCGG